GTTAAGGCAGTACAAAACCCTAAGCATCTCCAGACCAGCCACCTTTTCTCCCAGCTCTTCCAATCTCTTTCCTTTAGGACCCAAGGTAAAGAAGGATGGGAACAACTACAGCCACATTCCCCCAGGCTTTGTAGCCACAGGAAACCCAGCCAGACTTCCCTTCAGGATGCTTTCAAAATACAGGAAATCCCCAGTCTTGTCCTTTGTATTCTTTTTTTCTGCCAAAAGAAAATGTCTAATGCCAAGTTTAGATTTTACTACTCAGGTTGCAGTAAACTCTGAGTGGAATACATTGTGACCTCCTACACCTTAGCTGAAGGAACAGGAACCCTGAAACCTCCTACCACTGAGCCCTCCTGCCAAACCCCTGCTTTCCCCCAGATGCTCATTCCACACTGGAGCTAAATATGCGGCAACAAAAATATGCTATTAAATTTCACAAAAATACAATAAAAAAACCCCTCACAAACCTTCCTCCTACTCCTGCAAAGTGCTGTTAGTGCTCTCATCACCAGACCCACACAAGGGGCACCAAACCTGTTGCACACATAGACATCTACATAAGATACACACAGATGTGCACAGTACACATTATAGATTCTGGTACACAAAATGCCACTTTGCTGCACATCTCCTCAACACATGATATTTGATACTTCACACAGCTGAGATCCAACAATGCAACAAACTTCACCTTAACTCAAAAGATTGTGCCAGTGATCCACAACTTGCAAAACTGAATCAGTTCTGTGGAGAAAACACTAGCCCAGCCATGTCACCACTGGGGCAATGTGAGAGCCTGCAGGCATCCAGACCATGGTTTGTGGATCAGCAGGGCTCTTTCTGGAGCTGGGGGAAGGCCACCAGCACAGACAGTAACCTTTAGGCTGGCCACAGTATAGTTCACTTCAGGGCATAACCTACTCAGTAAATTGTGGGATGTGTCGCTCTCAGGAGGCAAAGCAAATTGTCTGTGGTTAAACATGTGAAGAATGAAGCAGTCAGCATCCAAAAGCAGCCTTCACAAGATCTATATAAAAAGGAGAAACAATCTTAAAACATATCCTAGGATCTAAAATTTCCACCTCTCAGCCTCCTCCTCCATCAAATCACAACTTCCTTCTTCCCCAGTCTGTAGAGCTTCAGGAGAGAGCAGACCTGGAGGCATCATTGCTCATGCACTTGACATAGTATTCTGAAAGAAAGGAAAAGTGCCCCTTGGCTTTGGGAATCTGGACCCACACCAACCCCACTGCAGGTGATGGCTTTTCCCTGGCTCACTCAGTGTCCACCAACAGCAAACTCAACATCTGGGCTCCCAAACAAGCTCCCAAAGAAGCCCCAGCCTGTACATATCTCTCTGGGCACATACAAAGGCAAAGAGGGGTCTGAACACTCTGAAAAACTGAAGAGGAGATAGGAAATAAAGTTGAAAAAGTGACAAATAATCTGCTTGGCAAAAAACCAAGCTGATGAGTTCTAGTCTCAGATGATGTAAAGCCATGAGCCAGGCAGCTGTGATTCCCATCACAAGGAAAACCCAAGGGGGATTTGTAGTTATTTGGTAACATGGCACCTCACTCCTTCCCACATCTTACAAAAGGCCTCTTTTTTAGCCCTAACAAGGACAAACTCATGAGTGTGGAGAAGAACAGCCCACTAAATTCCCACCCAGCCAGGAACACACCTATTGCATCCTTATGCCTCACTGTAGCTCTGGAACTTCCCCACAATGCAACATGCTGGGTAAAGGTAATGCCATCTCCTTCAGGAGTCACTCCACCTTAGTCTTTCACTCCCAATTCAAAGGAAATTAGATACATTTTTGGTATTGAAGGCCATCTTTTTTATCTCACCTCCTCTTAAATCTTGGGAATAAAAAGCAGCTGGAACTACAGAGCCCAAAGGTGACTGGGAGGCCAGTATTGAAGCAATGGAATCGTCATGGACAAAGGACACTGGAACAGGCAATTAGTGCTGATGCAAATCCATGTCAAACAGAAGCCATTTTGTGGGACATGGGGTAGAAGTCCCCCAGGTTCCAGGTGCAGATGGAACAGGTGGGGCTTGCAAAAACACCTCCCTAGGAATTTTTTTGTCCCATGATGAGACTGTCACCTGATATGATGCTCTGGAACAAAAATGGAGAGACAGCATCCAAATAACCAGCCCCTTGTAGGTGCCTTATTTTAGGAAGCAATTACCCTCTCTGACACACAGCCCTGGCTCCAGCACACCTCCAAAATGCACATAGAAATCAGAGTGTCCTGTTAGTGCCAGACCCATGCCACAGTGCTGCACCATGGCTGTCAGGGTCAGACAGGTTCAGTTTCCTTGGGGTTGATTTCTGCCTCTTAGAAATGCAACACACAAGGTAAGACACTTCATTAATAAATGCTGTGCACATAGTTTAATAAAGACATATTAATATTTTCACATAGAAACAGAGGAGAACAGGTTCTTTGATGACTGGACTGCATCACAACCTAATCAGAGCAGTGCTCTGAGCGGTGCACCCACAGTGTGTGCCCCAGGGCTTGTGAGCACCTTCCTACAAAGCCCCACTGAGGCCCAGGCAGCATCTCTTCTCCCTCCTGCAGCAAAGGAGACAGGGATGTCTCCTGAGGAGAGTGAGCACACGAGTGACAGGGCAATTCCTACATCACAGAGAGACTCCATTTCTCCCTCCTCACCTGCCCTTCCCAATACATGGAGTCCCACCTGACTCAGATGCTGAAAAATATGTTTCAAGAAATCATCATCACTCTTGTGAGTCATGAGAGAAGAGGAGGAAATTACTCCAGGAGAGATGATTCAACTAAAGGGAGAGTTGAGACAGATGAAAACAGACAGGAGAATGGAAGGAGCTATGGGAGCCCCACCGCTTCAAAGGAGCTCAGCAAAATGTGGGAGAAATTTAGAAGATTCCATTTCTCTTCCCCCATCAACTTCCCCATTTCCAGATTTTGTTGTTAGTACCTCCAATCTAAAATGTCAAGAATTTACATGGAAATGGATGTAAAAGTCTGCTCCACCTGAGAGTGCACTCTGAAGGAGTCCTCTTGAGAGAGTGATTTAGGAAAGGGTTCATTGTTTCCACTATGAAGACAGCACCATGTGCTGTTACCTAACCAGCACTGCCAGAACCATCCCTGTGACAGGTGAGCCCTTCACAGCACACCAGAGAGTCCTGCCCAAAAACCCAATCAAAAAGAAAGACAGTTGGAAGACAAACAAGGTTATTTGTACCACAGGCAAAGTTCAACCCTTGATCTAGCACCTAAAGATGCACAAACTCCCTGTAAGTCTGTGTGACTCAGAGCAAAGGGGAAAGAAAAACAGTGTGACTTGATGAGCTGAAATTCAAATGTCACAGTGGAGCCACTCAGCACAGTGATACTGTGTAACTCAGGGTTATTACCCTGTGCCTCCCATGGGAGCCACGTGCTGTCCAGGTGTGTACCAAGTTTGCTACAACCTTCTGTCACCTGTGTCTTCCTCCAGCATCTATAGGTGCTGCACATCTCTGGAACATTTAATATCATATATGCTGAAGTATGCACACAATCTATATAAGCACAAGGATGCAAGTTCACGTTAAGAAGAAAATTGGTCTCGCTGATTTTCACTTCCACTATCCCAAATGCAGTGCTGACACTTTACACCTCTTTAGTTCCACTTCAGCTCCTTCCATTCAAGCTAAAACACTTGCTGTGAGTCCCAAGCAGGATTGTTCTTCACTTCCCAGAGTAAGAAATTGGGTAAACAGCAATCTTCTTCACCCAAGTTCCTACAGCTACCATCTTTGTCAGGCACTGTGGACCTCACACCATCTGGACACTCAGGCCAGACTCTGACCACCCTTGACTGAGATCCTATCTTGAGTCTTGAGACTCCCCTAGCCCACATGGGTGTCCTGTGATTCCTGCTGCATACATTCTCCAAGCCACTTCTTACTCACTGTGGAGATCTCCAAACCCTCCCTGCCTCAGTTGCACCTCAGTTATTGCAACATCCCTTCTCTCACCACAGCTCATTTCCCCTCTCTCAGGTTGCAAGGTGACTGAGTCTTTTTGGCTGCAGTGCCTCTGTGGACACAGCTGTGTTACCTGCTCCAAGCTGTGTTACCTGCTCCAAGCCTTCCCCCTGTCCATCCCCCTGCAGAATCCTTTCAGTGGATCAAGCTACAAGCTGCATCCAGCTGGCCATGCTGCCAAATGCCCACTGTACAATGTCACTTGATAAAACTGTGTTTCAGAGAGGACACCTCAGCTCCTGGAGGGGAAGTCTCCATGCCCCTCTGCAGTGGAGAAGGCTGTCCCCTCTCCAGGAAGGCAAGCACTTGTCCCTGCCCCAACAGCAGAGCACGGCCCTGCTGCCAGCTCGTTACAGCCACCACTGGGTTTTACTGAGCAGCACCACGATCAGGTCACCCTCCCCCAGTACAGAGAAAATGAATTCATTTTAAGGAGTGTTACAAAATAGCACAATAGATTGGAATTGTGTGCAGATACCCATGAGGGCAACCCACTCGTACAGTCAGTCCCAGGGCTCAAGTGCCAGGCCCTGGCACAAACCCTTCGAGAGCTTCATCTCCTAAACAGGAGAGGCTCCACTTGTCCAAAACACTTCCATGAGCCATGGCAGGGACACTGCAGTCCCTCTGCTTCCAGTACAGCCCCAGTTAAATGACTGGATCAAATCTGCTGCCAGGCTTTTGCTATCACTTGTGCTCTTGTGGCAGCACCTTCAGGTGTTTGCATGATGGTAGGGAAGAGATAAAAAGCAAGAAGGTACCTAGAGAACATCCCCACACAACACATCCTTGCCTCACATGCTCCAGATGAATCTGTCCAACTGCAGGATACAGTTCCCAGAAAAGGCCACACAATCACAGAAATCACTCTGAAGCTGAGATCATACTGCTACACCAGCATCACCCCTCTTGTTTAAACTGAGCATCTCCATCAAAGGATGAGCACACAGGCCCATCTCCTTACCTTTAAAGCACGGACTTTCTTGGCCAAGAGGCTCTCAATGTCCCCTGCGACCTTCTCCACCAATTTCCTGGGCACATTCTCCTTGACTTCAAACAGGCTTTTATTGTCATCGTAGATCTAAGAGGGGAAGCAAGAGAAAAAGGCAGTCAATATTAGTGAGGAGTACAGCAGTCTTCCTACAGAAAAGCTGATCCTCTAACAGAGAATTCTAGCAATGTGGATTAGGTAACAATATAAGCTTTGGAAATGAGGGGAGCAAGAGAAGAAAGGCTTTGCAACCAGAAAAAACAGAAATACAGTCAACCTGCTGCCCACACCACGGGCTCTACAGCTGCCTGCTTTCATGCTTGCAGGCAATGGGCATCCCACCTCTCACTCAAAAGCTGAGCTGCCCATCCCTGCCTCTGCTGAGCCACTCCTGTGGCTCAGCAAGCACACCATGCTTGCTGCTGTGCCCTCCCTCGCCCAAAGGCATCCCCAAGCCCACTGACCACCTCCCCAAAGCACCTGCTCAGCTTGGCAAGTGCAAGCCCAACTCCCTGCCCACCCCAGCACTGCCTGCAGGGCTCACTGGGTGCAGGGCCTGGCAGTGCTGGGGCAGCAGGGCAGCCCTGGGTACCAGGAATAAGAACAAGGGGATCACATTAAGCAGGATAAACCCCACATCTCTACCAAGGCATAGTAATTTGGCACCCTAAAGAAATGAGAATTTCTACAACCAGTCCAGAACTTGGCCAGGCTGTGGTGGGGAGAGGCACAAATCTATACCAGGATTATCCTGAAGGCCAATGCAATTATCTGTGAATGTTCTCACCCAAAGTGGCAGCAATGGCCCACAGGCACATCATACAAGTGCCGGGAACAACCCCAGACCCAAGGGGAGTGCTGTTGGCATCAGCACTGCCTCAAGGAGAAAAGGGATCAGTCCCACCAGAAGACTCCACAACCACAAACCCCTCAGTCACCTCCTCAGATGATTTTGTGACTTGTTAACTCCACCTGCCTGCAGACCCAGGTGCAACCAACACAGGGTCAAAGGGAAGAGTTTATTGCCATCATCTGAGACTAGCAATAAAAAATTCCTCACGCTTTATCTTTTCTTAAGTAAGGTACATGAAGAAAACCACAAAGCAAATAGGATTCTGCTTCTCTCTTTATCCTCAGGCTACTCTCAAATACCTTCAGCTGCAGACATGGAGACATATGGGAACAGAGAAGTCTCCAAGGAGAGCTGGACCTCCCCAAGGAGGTAGCAGACTCCACGCTTAACTGCAAATTCCATGCTAAGCATGTCTGGCACCTTCCCAAGCTTGCATGATCCTCAGGAGCTGAATCATGCTTCCCACGGGACAAAACCCTCTCCTTGCTGGAGCTTCATTGCAAATGAGAGACTCTGCCTGCACAAGTGGTTTGTTGCAGACCTGGCCATGAGGACCAGGGCTGCAGAAGCAATTTCTCATGACACATCTGCCCTAGCTGTCAGAGCAGCACCCAAACAAGCAGTAAACAGCCAGCTTCACATGACAAACACGTACCCAGAACCTCCCCCATTTCACCCAGGACTAAGGAGAGGCTCAGCCAGAGGCACCCCCAGCTCACACCATCACAGCTCCTTCTCTTGGTGGAGCCAGCAAAAGTAAAGGTACAGGCAGGCACAGGATCTGGATAGTGACACATCACACAGCTCAGGGACATGGTGAGACTCTCTAAAATGCTGGGAAACTACTCACTGCCCTCTCTTCTTTCTCCAGACCTCATAATGAGCTGGAGTAGACAGCAGCTCCACTTGCTGAAGGCAGCTGTCAGTGAATCCAAGCACCAGAGCAGAGGCATCCCCCAGCTCCAGCCTCCCTTTTCCTTTCATGGGTAAACAAAGCAGTTTCTGAGGCTGAAGCCACAGTGAGAAACTTAGCACAAGGCTGTTCTTTCAGCTGTGCACAGTCCTTCCAGACCTACTGGGTTAATCTCCAGGCTTCCACTTTGCTTTTTGCAGCTCTAACTGGGGCCCCTGCTCTGCCCAAGCTCCTCCTTTCTTCCTTGGCATTAGGAAATTCCTAACAGCAGTCTCTTCCAGCAGCCTTGTGCACATATATACCATTACTCCGTTCTAGATATACTCCAGCAATTGCTTTTTCCCCTCAAAAAGCCCCAAGGGATTCAGGTTGCCTGCTCTGGCTGCCAAAAGAGTAACCCATCCCACCTCTATCAGTGGGGCAGCACACAAAAGGCTCAGATCTGACAGTTTGATCTTTCTGGAGAAAACAGAATTTCTGTGAATTTCTGTGGTTACTAACTTGCAAGAGCATGGCCCATGAGCCAAGAGCAAAGAGCCAGACATCTGGGATCCTCATGTGACTCCTCAGTCTCTAGGAGACACATGAAGCATGGCTCCAGTGCCCTCCCCAAGGCTCTGCTCTTGCATGCTCCACACCTGCCATCCTTCAAGGAAAGGCAACCCTACAACTGATTTGTCTGAAATGGGCTTCACCCAAATCACTTTGGTCCCAAACCCACACTTCACATTAATTTGCAAGTCCTCTGTGACTGTGAGCGCAGGGACTCCAAAGAGGATGCTTTAGTAAGAGAAGATATTTAAGAGGCATCCTCAGACTCCAGAAGAAATTATTTCATAGAATGGTTTGGGTTGGAAGGGACCTTAAATACCATCTCATTCCAGCCCCTCGCCATGGGCAAGGGACCCTTTCCTCTATCCCAGGTTGCTCCAAGCCTTGTCTAACCTGGCCTTGAACATTTCCAGGGATGGGGCAGCCACAGCCTCTCTGGGCAACCTGTGCCAGGGCCTCACTTCCCTCACAGTAATTAATTTCTTCCTAATATCTAATCTCAGCCTCCCCTCTTTTCTGTGTGAAGCCCTTCCCTCTTGTCATGTCACACCATCACCTTGCCCAAAGTCCCTCTCCAGCTTTCTTGGAGCCCCTTCAGGCAGGGGAAGGGGCTCTGAGGTCTGCCCAGAGCTTTCTGTTCTGCAGGCTGAACACCCCCAGCTCTCTCATCTCAGCCTGTCTTCATAGCAGAGGTGCTCCAGCCCCCCGGTGATCTGCTCTGCCCTCCTCTGCACCTCCTCCAACTGCTTCTCATGTTAAGGAACCCGGAGCTGGATGCAGGATTCCAGATGAGGTCTCACCAGAGCAGAGTAGAATCACTTGCCTGCCTTGACCCTTTGATGTGGTTTTTGATGTGGCTCAGGATAGAATTTCTAGATGTTCTTCACATCAGAGCTCCATCACACCGCAAGCTTCAGATCAAAAACCTTGTATTGCCAACAGCACAACATCCTGCACTAGGTAAGAACACCCCACATTGGCACAGAAAGGGTTAAGCAAGGGAAGCTCGACACAAAGCAATATTCTCTACCCTTTTTTTTTTCTCCCCTTGGTAAGTAACAGCACAACAAAGTCATGTGCTTGGAAGAGGCAGGATACCTCCAACTGAGCAGCAGCAATTAGGGAAAGCAAAGAGGAGCAATCTTCAAGGAGAAAGCTTTGGGTACAGAGGGAGTCCTGGCATTAGTATTTGCCTATTATGAAACAAAATTGTCTCCTGTTGGTTATGGAGAGAAACAGTACCTGTCCACCAGGGAGGAAAGAACAGAAAAAGAAACCAGGAGCTGCTCCCCCAGCCCTCTCTGCAGCTGCAGAGCTCTGCAGTCTTCGTGGCTGAACAGTTCACCAGCCTTAATTAGAACAATCCAAGACAAATTAACAGTGACCATACGTGCATGAGAACGTCCCAGACAGGCAGGGGAGTGAATGGTGGGGGCTCCAGGCAATTCAGAGAACTCACAGTCTCCACTGTAGCATTTTGCTTTGGGCTGTTCAGAACGTGGCCGGGTTTCACTTATCTAAGGTGACATTTCCCATGTTGGGTTTAAAGGGAGGATTTTCTGGCCAAAGACATCTCGGACATTCCTCAGTGATGGCAAAAACCTTTAGTTTTGTCAAGATTAGAAAGCAATTCTCATTGAAATTCTCCTGTGATCCAGTGCTCTGGGACCTGTTTTTGAAATTAGTAGCACCAGTGACCTCGGAGTCAAGGAGCTGCTGCTTGTGAGTCCCTGTCCGTACCCTGTGTCTCACCCTCGAGAGAAGGGCTGCACCTTGTGTGCTCTTGGCAGACTGGGTTTGACTTGGCAATGCCTTGAGCAAAGGCCCCATCCCCTCCCAGCCTGCCTGGCAGGCAGGGCAGGTGGGTGGCAGTGCAGGGACACGAGCACAGCCAGCGCTGCATTGCTCCAGCCACGCTGAAACAAGAAATAATGCCCTTGTATGGGTCCTGCTCAGTGTGGCTGGCAAACCTGAGATTACCGGGCAGGAGAAGGGCTGTAGAGAGCCCCTGAATTACCTACAGAGGGAGCAGCCCTCAGGCAGCATACAGGAGGAAGCAGTTGCACTCAGAGAATGGGGATTGAGACGACATCATGAGCTGCAATCTCAATTAAAAGGCTGGGAAGGGCTGAAGATGGATGCAGTAGCAGAAGATCCAATCCTGGCAGTGGAAAGGAGTCCAGCAGTGAGTGCTGAGAGTGAGCTAGTAAGTGGCAGCAGCAGGGGGAAGTGGGAGGGAATATTAACAGCAAACAATAGAAAGTACTGAGCTGAAAAAAAAAGGCAAACAAATAAAAAAGAAACAAGAAAAAACCCAAAGTAGTGGCAGGTGAGGGAAAGAAAAAATCCAACTGTTCGAGACAACCTGCAACATGAAAAATTTAATCCTAAATACTCCTAAGCATAGTGCAATTACAGCCTCGAAAATGATTTAAACCAGCCCAGAAGTGCTAAGTGGCCTCACTTAAGAGCAAAGCTGGTAACAGAACCAACTGTCAGCACACGTTCCCAGCAGCACCTGTACAGCCAAGGAGGCAGATCTGATACTGCCTTGAAACACCCATTCTCTAAATTCACTTGTTTGCCTTGCTTCTAATGCACAATAAATGATGCTCATCTCTGCCTTTAATTCCCTCTGTGCCTATATATTCAGGGAACTGTCAGAGTTCAGAGAAAGCGTTTTTCTCTCCCCAATTCCCTGTGAGCACACCCAGCACCATGAAACTTGGCAGCCTGAAAAAGGAATGAGTGCAGGAATACTCCCATAAGTTC